TCAGGAACTTGATGGATTGTTTAATTCATCGTGACTTTCTTACTTATGGTGGGTGGGAAAAAATAAATTGTAAGATTAAAGTCTTAAACCAGTAGCATCTAAAGCTATCGAGATCGGCCACGAAGTTTTAATTGTTTTATTTACCGCAGTTACTTCATGGCTTGTCCTGACAGTACCACAGATTATGCTTTTCACATTGTGTAAAGGTTTCGCTAAATCTTTAAGGTTATAAAAGTCGTCAGCATCAATATGACACCACTTATTGCGATAAGGTGCCAATATTTCAGTTATCATGTTCTGCAAACTGCTGCGTTTTGCTAATTATAATTTAAAGTTGCAATTATCAGCCCTCCTAGATTCACAGACTATTCTATTGAAAATTCCATATTTACCTAGTTTCATTGGATATATATAGAATGTACATTACAAATTTTAGCCGACAACGTGATTCCCTCACATAGTTTTAAGTGGATGTGTACACCTTATTTAGTTGTGAGGCGAAACCAAAATCAGCAGTATTTTTATAAGAAAGACTATCGGTACCGGCATTGCGTGAAGTTCAAAGAAAACCACAAATGTGTGCCCACGGTAGACGAAAAATATTTTGTGAACATTTTTATAAAAGAAAAATAATACTTGAAGGAAATTTTTATTTTTTTTTTTTTTGTACGCAAGCAGTGTAAACTCATATGACCCAAGAAAATTTTTATCCGAAATCCTAAATGTAGTCAAAATAAAAGAAAAAAATCTTCTCCTTAAAGTAGACACTTAAAAATTGCAATAAAACCAATTTTGTTTGTTTGTTTTTTTTTTCGTATTTGTTTAAAAACTATTTAATACTATTTTTTCAATGAATTTTTTCTCTTCTTGATTTTTATATATTTTTGTGGTTGTGGTTGCTGTTGTTTTAATTAAAAAATACATGTTATTTTTAATACATACATATTATTTGATTGATTTTAATATATAATATATTTTATATAAAAAGAAGACTGTGAAAATAATTATCATAAAATTATTGTTATTGCTAAATTAATTGTAAAACGCAAAAAGTCTTGAATAAAATAATTCATAGAAAGGCTTAATACATTCGTACGCATAGCGAATATTAAAATGTACCAAATTTATATATGAAGTGATAGAATATATGCAGATGTACAATTATTTTTGCTCAAAGTACAATTCATTTTTTTATTTTTTCATTGAAAGTCAAAGAAGAATTAAAATCGGTAACAATAGGGTCGAGGGCTTCTCTTATATTAAAAATCTAAATATATTTATGTATATATATAATGTTATCGCATTGTGAAATCTGAAGCGAAATTCCTCATAAATTAACTCAACTTTAATTAGTTTGCGACTGATCATTTTAAAGAATTTTTCAATATCAATGCCCTAAAGTACGCAGAAGAAAACTGCATATACTTTTTGCCGTAAGACTCTACATTAAATTGATTTATGCATTTTTTTGCCTATTATTAACGGATGTTAAGTTCCTTGCCCTTCAATCAATAATTATTATATCATTCTTTTTTTAAACGTCCGAGAATATACTTTGCGGACACCTTCAAGTCTACTCTTGATGAAAAGCGAATTTGGAGTCGATTTAAACGGGTTAGATTCGCTTCTAGTCGTTGTTTTTGTACAATCTCATTATAACTGATATCATGCTTCACTTCCGCATAACAAGTTTGAAAATGGACGTTAATCCGTTCACACAATAGACAAAATATCTAAACTCTAAACAGAAAATGTTTGCAAGTGCTTTGAACTTTTCTTAGGATTAACTAAATATTCAATATCTAAAAAAGTCGTTGCAGAGCGAGTATAGCTTTCGCATTTATAAGATGCAGTCAAAATTAAGAAAGAATAGAACATAAGATTCTGAACAAATTGATTGTTTTCGAAAACACAAACACATACTATTTTCAGATTAAGATTTCAAGTTACATTAACTTGATGATTATCGACCAATAAAGGACTGTTGAGAAAGAAAAAAAAAACGAAAAATTCATAAAACTTTTTTCGTCAATTAATTTGAAAAGATTTTAAGACAAAGGTACAGAAGGCTTTCACAACTAATTCTTAAATATATAAACGGCACGAAATATTTTCTTTACTTATTTCATTTCTGTTTTTTTTTTTGTTTTTTTTTCCTCAAATATAAAAGCTAAAGTGAGCGTCGTCGTCGTAAATGAAATAAACGAAAATTAATTATCAGAATTAGTTAGCTCTTGGACAAATGCTTCCAATTGATAATAACATTAATGCCTACGGCAATTTAAGATAATAATAATTTGAATTTATTTAAACAGTGTCATATACCTTTAACAAAAGTTGATACATTTGAATGGACTGGAAAATCAAGGTGGCAGATGTTATTATGAAAAGTGCATTTGATTACGATATGTGTGCAAATGTACGTGTTCTGGTGTATTATTGAAGTCCTGAAAGTAAAGAATGACCAACTTTATCGTTATACAATCGAATTTAATTGGCCTTAATAAAATAGGGTAAATGGATTCGGGGCGGGGGTAGGATGGTGTGGCCGGGTAAGCTTCAATTTTATGGGCCACCTCTAGTATAAATAATGGCATTCAATTCTAATAATGTTTTAATATAAATAAAAAGTTTTTGTTTCCCAGCTTAAACTAGATGAACGATGTTTTTAAGTATTTTTTGTATATATGTTCTTTTTTTTAATATTAACTTTTTTTTGCTTTTTTTTTTTTAAGGATCAACGTAAACTTATTTTGCTTTAGAAAATAAATTGTACATAATTTAAGAATTATTTATTTATTTGCATTTTTTTAATTATGTTATTTAAGGGGCCATTTATTATTTTTATATATTATTATTATCTTTATTTTATTGTTTCTTTTTTCTTATATTAAAACATTAATATGATCTATTTTAGTTTTTTAAATAAACTGTGTATATTCCTTTCATTGCAGCTTAGTTTTGCTGGAAAATTATATTTGCATAATTTTGCATACTTAGAAATGACACCAATTACATAATAAGATACTTATTTTAAATAAAAACTACAAACATTACCATACGATTTTCCGCTATATAAACACAAAGTCAAAATTATTTTAAAATTAATTCGGTTTTTCTATTTTGCTTTGCTTTTTGTTTATTTTTTTTTTTTTTTTGTTTTTCTTAATTTTATGATGATAATCATGAAAGCATTTCTAAACAGCATTTTCGTTTTCGTTCTTCAATGTTTTAATGCAACTTTTTATCAAAGTGATTTTTCATTTTCAATTACCTTTCATTACAAAAAAATTTAATCAAAAATTTAATAAATTTTTTTCTAAAAACGAGTATATTAATATCTCGTCGCATTAATGAATTTACAATTAATTCATTGCTTTGTAACTTTAGCAAAATTCGGTCTAATAATAATTTCTTTATACCCGTCCATAAACAGAAATTATCGCCATACGAACAGGCATAGCGTAAGATTGAAAAATGCACTTTTTCCATTCCGGTTTTAAAAATAATACTTCCCATCGGAGTTGTTCGACTTCAAAGTTGTCCAAAAATAACGAATTTAATCAACATTTGTATTCTTTCTTAACACAGATATTGTTTTTACTTAATGAAATCTAAGCCAAGGTAAAGAAATAATGGCATCGAAGTCTGCTATTAATGCGAAGATATATAAAAACTAGTTTAATCTAGATAAGTTCAGGAATGAGGTTCCAAAATTTCGAAGTAGTTTCAGAAAATTATTCCTTTAAAATTCTTAACAATTTACATTCATTATTGGAAAACAAAAGTAGGCAACAGATTTTGGTTAATTTTATCTCCTGAAAATAGGCAACATAATTTTTTTTTAAAATTATATATCAAAGGAAATCAAAAAAAACAAATTGAATTAGCGGTAGCTTAATAACAGAATTCTAGAAATTATGCAATTCCTTGTCAAAAGAATTTTCAATGATTGAAGAATGAAGAAAGAAGTAAATTTTTTATAATTTGAACGGCTTAGATGCGATAACAAAACCTGTTTCACAAAATGAGCCAAAACAAATCACTCTAAATGGATCTGCAGGATATCTTTCAATTTCTTTTTAAACTTTGCTTCTGCTCCCATACTCACAATCCTCTCTAATTAATTTACCCTTGCTACAATTTGTTCAAGAGTGTTTCTATTCACCTTGCGATCGCAAAACTGCTCGTTAAAGTTTCGTCAATGGAACGAACGTGTTCTAACAACTCTTTTCTGTGTTATAAAGTAAAAATGTTTTGTCATCATCGCCCTTCTAAAAGTTATCTTTTTTCTTAGCTATTTTTGATCATATATTTAAAAAACTTTAAATATATATTTTGTTTTCGTAGATTTTTTTACGTTTTTTATTACAATTAATTTTTCTTTTCATGTGGGTTTAAATTTTATCATTAATATACTGAAATTTTACATTGCTACGTTGGTAATTGTAATTTGTTGTTTTTTTTTTTTATTTTTTTTTTTTTATTTTAGATTATTTTTTGTTTTATTTTTAACTTTTCATTACTTTCTTTTAATATAAATGTGTGTCCGGGCAGCCTGTGGCTAAAATTTTATTTTATTCCTTTCTTTTATCTATTATATGATTGGTTGCTTGATAATGATTTATTCCTTTTCTTTTAAACTTTTGTTACTTTTATTATTACTTTTATATTTATATATAAATCTTTAAATTTAAAAATGTTTGTTCTTGTTGTTGCTGTTGTTGTTATTATTATGATTATTCATATTGAAAATAGACGAAGACGACGGCAACTTTGAGGCCGTAACTGCAGCAATTGTTGGTGACATTGAAGTGCTTGCTGGCGATGACATAGTGGCAAATGTTTTAATAATAGTCTCAGCGGCAGCCGCGGCAGCAGCAGCAGCTGCCACAGCAGCATTTGTGGCAGCTGTATGCTGTTGCTGTTGTAACGCGTGCGATTGATGATGATGATGATGGGGATTCGCATGCTGGTGTTGTTGTTGTACAACATGTTGATGATGGTGATGAAATGGGTGATGATGATGATGATGGTGATGGTGCTGATGTTGATGCTGATGCTGGTGATTATGATGAAAAGTTTGCTGCTGGTGTTGGTAAAGTTGCTATGCCAAGCGAGGTTTCTTTTGATGTGACTGTGGCGATTCCTCTTCTTCCTCTTCATAATAATCTTCATCACCAGAATCGCTCTCATAATCAACCAGACCCTTTTAAAAGTATTTATTAAGTAAAAGATTTTTTATTTCACCGTTTATTGATTTCATTAATTACCGTTACCTTCTTTAAAACACTCTCCCCGGAGACCACAGCCGATGAAGGAGTTTCCTTTTGATCACCAATAACAGCTGTTACGTTGCCGACATGCAATTCACTATTTTTTAATTTATTCGCTGCTTCAGCAGCGTTGGCTGCACTGACAGCAGCGGCAGCTACTGCACTATTGGCTACGCCAGATACACTAGCTGCGACGGCGGCTACAGCAGCCGCTGCCACCGCTGCTACAGCTTCGCTGGATGCCATTGAAGAAAGTAATTGAGTAGCGGCGGCGGCCGCTGCTGCAGCCGATTCTGTCAACGAACTTGTTGAGGGCACTGACACCCCCGTTTGCGCTATATTAGAATTCGATGTGGAGGCTCCTCCACTTAAAACCAGTTCTTGTTGCTGCTGTTCGACAGCGGCCAATTGTTGTTGCAATTCAACAATATCACTCTGTTGTTGTTGTTGCTGCGCTTCTAAGTGAGCAGCGCTGGAAGTGCTAGCTACACCTGCAGCGGCGGCTGCAGCCGCAGCGGCGACAAGGGTACTGTTTAAATTTAGCTGTTGCTGCTGGTAATTGTGCAGTGGATGATGATGTTGTTGCTGGTGTTGTTGGAGAGCAGCACCTAAATGCGCGGCGGACGTTTGTTCACTGTTACTACAATTACTGCTGCTGTTCGAAGATGATGATGTACTAAGACCACCTTCATTGTTACTACTTGTTGATCCTCCACCAGTTGGTGAAAGCGTGGAAGTTGACGTCGTCGTTGAATTTAACTGACTGCTGCTTGGACTACCATTGCCTCCCAGTAAGCTGGTGCTAGCACTGCTGCTACTGCTACTAGAGCTGCCACCGTGTTGCTGCAATTGCTGTTGCGCACTCTGTGGCGGTGACTTCTGTTGTAATTGTTGTGAAACTTGAGGACCGCTTTTCTCAGTAACAGCTATTATTATTGAAAGTGAAATGAAAATATCGCTTGGTGTTTAAGTTGACGCAAATTAAGACAAATCACTTACATTTCATGACACTGTTGTATGTTTCCAATTCTTCCAAGTCTTCATCTTCATTAAACCACATTTCTTCCTCTTCTTCCATTTGTCTCTGATCCCGACGGAAACGACCGCCACGTATAATTGGAATGCCACTGTGTGTATTTAAACGTGAAATTAAAATATAAAAAGATATTCTTTTCATTGAACATTGAATTTAATGAGTTCAATTGATTATGCTTACGTATCTAAACTCATCTTGTCACGATCTTTTATTCGATCCTGATACTGATCATAGCGATTTTTCAGATATTTAAACGTTTGCACATATTCAATTTCATCAAATATCTTGCTGAACGTTTCAACAAAATAAACACATAATGTTTTGATATCTTCCAATTTGACGAACTCGAACAATTCTAAAATCGCGGATTCGAGCAAGTTATAGCGGCCATTGTTACGTATAAAAGCATCTACCACCGGCGCAAATAGATTACCTTTAACAATATGTCTTTGCAAAAAGTGAAGAGAAACGAGAGTAAATGCTGTAAACTTAAAAAATATATATTTTCGACCTTTTATAACTAACCTGTTGTAGAATTCATCTTTAAGAGCGACAATTTTTCTTAAAAGCCTTAGGGCGCCTAAAACAAGGAACGTATGAGAACTCTTCATAAGCACTAGAATTCTCTTAAGGAGATCTTTCTGTATGATAAAGTTTTTAATATGATAAGTATGATGTTCCACACAAAACGATAAAATATCCAAAACAATGCCTAACAGCTGGGCGGTCTGATAATCCTCATTCTGAGGACGATCGCCGATAGTGTTGAGCAACAATGGAGCTAAACAAAGAACAGATATTTATTGAATGAACTTAAGAAAATTAATATTTAATTTTATTTACCGATCAAGGTTTGTATACTGTGCTTGTAGAAAAAGTTGAGGAAGTCACCTTTTTCCGTAAGCATATTTTCCGGCTCCAATAGTATCTTAATAATACCCATTAATTGCACGGCTACACCTAATTCTGGTTCGGAATCAGTCAACATTTGTTCAATGGCAATGTTTAAAAGCATCCGCTCCTACATCAAAAATTAAATATAAACAAATATAATGAAGGGCATCATGCGCTTTCTATCATTTTGAATACTTACACCCTCAGTACGATTGACTTGCTGCAATGTATAATTACGCACCACCAACGGTGAAAATTCTACAATCGCTGTTAATATATCAATTGAGGCCGCTTTGGTCTTTTGATCATTCATAACCAGAGTTATTTCGAGAGCCTGCAGTATTCCCAAGCAGGTCAAAGTTTTATAAAATGAATCCTTGCCCTGCGGCTGTAGGTTCTGAGCGTAATTGCAGAATTCCTTCAAAAATAAGACAATATCACGACGTTTCGCATCGCTTGTATTTGGATCGGTAAGTAATGTAAACATGTCGACCAAGAAACGCTCATCCTCTTGTATCAGCGTAACTATCTCTACTTTATTGAAAAATATAAAACTCGACAATGTATTAAGCATATTATCCTCAACAAACACGGATGGCGTGGGCAATATTATATCTTGTATGTATTGTACACGAAATGTTTGATGGATTTTAGCAAGCAAGTCCTGATTTTTTATCGGTACGGCTTCGCGAAACTTCGCCCACTGTTTTAAATACTGACGATGTTTTTTCGGTTGCGTAGCACTGGGATCATATTCCAAACATCCGACCACATCGAATATTGTATCTTCGGCAAACATGATCTCAAACAAAGCGTTCTTGTTTAACAAGAATATATTTTTAAATATTTCAAATAAATGATGCAGACCCTCAGTATTATCAAGATCTTCGCACACGTGAAAGAGATTAAGAAGTTTCTTGATGTAATTTTCCGACTCTAGAGCCATGGAGAGTTTCTCTTTACGTAACGGTGTGGTTAAACAACTCTGTATAGTCTCGGATATGTCTTCCAGGCGGGCCAATTCGCAAGGTGGCAGTTCAATGGGCGGTGCAGTATCCGACATATCTTCGAAGCGCTCATCTTCCGATTCCTCAACAATATCCTGCGTGATTTCCACTGAAGGATCCTTGCCTTGAACCTTAAACAGGAATTAAAGAAAAAAAGAAATGGATTGACTTTTACAATAACGCAATGAAAATAAAAGCATTTTGCAAACAACATGATCGCATCCAAATAAGTGTAGGTGAACTCTCGATACCTCCAAATACCTTAAGAAAACATACAGGCAAGGCATCATTTTTTGTGTTGCCCAACATTATTCTTTAGACTTCATTTATTATGAAAAGTATTCAGCCTTCGCATCTACTTTGAGCATCTCTTTGTAATCATTAAAATCTCAATAATTTATGATGGACAGCTAATCGAAACCTGCCGCTGACAAGCAATTCAAAATATTTCCTTCGGAACGACAATTCTACTGTCATATGTCTGATGCTGGCGGAAATGAATAGGAAAACGTATGTCGTTTTATGTCTAAATTTCAATATCTATCAAAACCTGAAGAAAGTACTATTTTTTTTTTTTTGTTGGTTCTCCAAGATTTTAAGAACTGTGTGTACATTTGCAATAAAACATTTCCATTTTTGAATTTTATTTATCGTTTCAGACATCGGGCGTTTATAAATAAGTATTTCAAGAACAGTCGGTGGTATGCAGGATGGACAGACCTGACCATATCTATCAAAGAGTTTTATACTAAATCAAAACATTTATACATTCTAGTATCCATTATTTCTAAGTCCTGTCAGTGTACGCGCAAAATCGGCCGTTGCTCGATGATCAAACCTATATATAAAAGGTTCGACTAACAACGTACCTGACAGATTTTCTCCCAGATTTCATCGCAACCTGCCTTTTCTTGGAAACTTAAGGCCAAATCGAAGTTATCTCCTTCGGACCAAACGATTAATGTATCCTGTTGCTTTTGGTAGGCGGTGTCCGGTTGAATTTTACTTTCTAGAAGTAAACTTCCATCAGATTCGGCGCGGACCAGCAACGAGATACCTGTGCATAATTAAATTGTTTCATGAATTTCACGCGCAAGAATTGAAAATCCAAAATGCAATTAAATTCATTTACCTTTAAGTCTGTCCACATAGCTCGATGATACATGACCGGTACCACGGTCATCCCATTGACGTTCTGCATTTAAAGCATACAATTTGACACGTCGGCGGGTATCTGTAGTCATTTTTCTGCTAAATTGTTGTTATTGTTGTTGTTAAGTTTATTTTTTTTATTTATTAATGATTTTTGTTTTATTTATTTTTTTTTTTCAAAATATTTGTAAAAAATATTTTTTTACTCTTTTTGCTTTCTTTTACTCTCACACTACCCCCACACACGCCGATTGTATGTTTTCCTTTTTGTTGTTTTGGTTTTGTGGGTTATCTTAAGTGCTTAAAAGAGAGTTTGTATGTGTATTCGCAGTATACACATTTATCTAATGTTAATAAATATAATCGTTGTAGTTGTTTGTTGCTGGCTAACGTACTTGTGGCACACGTGTCAATTGTTTTTTTTTTTTTTTTTTTCTGTTGGTTTTGTTTTGCTTTGCTTTTTTAACTTTTATTTTCAATTCTTCTTCGCCTTACATAAAGTATAGCAGACTGCACGTTACTTGTGCGACAAAAACGATAGCATATGTATATATATATGTATTTTTTCTGTTTTTACTTTTTTTTTTTTTCTTTTTTTGCTTTAAAATTGTTGCTTACAACAATTTTTGCACTCTGCAGCCAAGAGTATGTAGATGGGCGGGTGTGGAACTTTGTTCCTCGCTGATGTTAATATTAAGATCTTGAAGAATCGTTTTCATGCAACGGATTAATTGATTCAATTCATAAAAATGAAATTGAGAAAAATTCTTTACAGTTTGCAAGTGATCGTGGACCTGTTACATCGGCAATGGTGGCGCTTTTCTGTGTTTTCCGTAACGTTACCGGAAACCATTTGATAATGCAATATTGAAACTGCAACAAATAAAGAATAAATATTTTTTTATATAATTTCTATTACGTAAAGATATAAAAATTAACCTCAGATTCGTAGGCATACATATCATTGAATTTCATGTGATCAGTTCGAAAAATATATAGTGATTGGTTTGCACCAAATCGCTGATGCACAAAGACTATTACGACTTACGACTTTTCTTCCATTGCCCCTCCCCCTCTTTTCAACCAACCAGCTACTACGTTTATATTTATAATCATCAACACATAGTCAAGATGATTTAGCCTCGTATAGCGGGCGAGGGCGTTAACAGTTGGTCCATTGAAACGGCAATCATTGACATAGAAGTTTATATGTCAGAAAATTTTAAAAATTTTTTCACTTTACGGGACAAAAGTCTTTGCAAAATAGTGCGCTAACATAGTGTAAAAGTTTGTAAACCTTAAACGTAATGGATCGTTTTTCGAACATACTTATCTCCCACGTAAAACTTCTTATAAAAGATAAGCTTTTATCTGGTAAAACGGTTTAATTTTTAGTATTTTACGCCGAAACTTGTTCCGTTATAGTGACTAAGCATATCAATTGGCGTTGACAAATTGTGACCAAGTGAGTATAAACCGATGCAATATACATAACGAAACTCATGGATAGTAAAGACAACGAGATATTTAATGCGGCAACAAGGTGTGATTTATGTTAAGCGAAACATTATGGAGTGTTTAATGGTCGGTCTTTCCCGACTATAACATGCTATTCTTTGAACTCTTCATTTTACTTAACTTAACTTCTGAGATTTGTAATTTCATATTAATTTTCATTTTAATATTCTTTGCTTTATTACTTATTCGTTCTTTATTTTATACAATTTTACACTTAACCGTTTTCATTCGATTGTTCGTCGAAATAATTCTATAGTTAAAGTCGTTATACCATAATAATACAAGCATAAACAGGTTTTTGTCGTTTTGCAAGACAGAACACGTAGCAGTAGTTGGTATTGTCTACAAAAGATAGCAGAGACAACCACTGAACAGTTCTAGGCTATGCCCTACAACCTACATTGCCCAGATGAACACTAATGTACATAGTGTTTTAAGCCCTGAATAATTAATTTAATTCCCGTGCTTAAAATTCGAGACTACAAACACATGATGCTTTCTAGTCGAATGCTCGACAATAGTTTTACACTCTTTCAAACACAAGGCTGCATACAAAAGGGACTCTAGATTTGGATACCAAACAAATTTGCGGAGACAAATTTATTCGCACGTTTTTCCGCTAACCAAATTGCTGGTAAAACGAGTTATTTTCGAAGAAATTTTTAATCTGCGGGCGATGAAATGTGGATTTCGTACGGCAATGATATGCGCGAAAATGTTCTCGGAAAGCACGTAAGCGACAAAGGGCAAAGTCCGAATTGACGCCACATAAGATATTATCTTAGTTCCACTCTCATATTATGGCCTGCTCTAACCTGATCGCTTCTCGCTCTCTCTCTCTCTCTGTTGTCAACAATAAATGTGACTAAAGCACACAACTAAGGTAAAGTGCCCTAAATTTACCAACAGGATAGATACCACCGACCATTACGAAAATAACTGATCACATGCACCCACCTATACACACACAGGCACGTTGAGCTAAGGCTCAGACGCTCCTCATGACATAATACTTAGTGCGTGCAAGTCCCACATTGACTTATACTTCAAACGCGTTCCCCTTTCTTCAAAATATAACTCGACCCCTAACCTGTCTAGCTGCCATCGCGTTTCGGTCTCTATACATCTCTCTTAAAAGTATACAAAGGGACTTCGAAATAATTCTGCGTAAATCAGTTGATTCGCCTTTCAATCGCAAATCCCAAAAGCTCTACAATGGAAGCATGATAATGGTTTTATTAGAAAAATTAGCAAAATGTTATCACATAGCACATGGCACATCATCTTTGATATGAAGAGATAGATGATCGTAGAGAATTCAGAATCTAGAATTTTATGTTAGTCGTCGCGAATATGTATATACTTTTTAGGATATCTGTTGTTATATACCTCCCACCTTCACATAGGGATTGTTAGGATTATTATAACAATTTTCATAATATTGAAAATATCTTTTTTTATAAAAATTTTCCAATTTATTACAAATTTTTCGTAAGTCAAACACTCCTAAGGTTGCTCAGTAAGTATTTGTACAAAATTAACAAATATCTTGTAAAGTAAATGGTAAATGAAAGAAAACGAGGCAAGAGGTCGAATGAAATCCGTTTTTCATAAATAAATATACCCAAATGTACGTATGTATGTACGTATATATGCATGTATGTTTATATATATATATATATATACTTGTAATGCATGTAAAAATAAAATATCTACAATGACAACCAAAGCGCCACTATCATCATTTTGAATGAAATAGTAAAACGTCGTCATCAAGAGCACGAGCAGCAATAATAACATCATCATCATCATCTGATCTACGTATATAAAAAAACGCGTAACAAGTGTATGCTCACGTTGGCTCATCTCTCTTCCAATTTTATTTTATTTATTTTTTTTTTGTCAACGCAGCCAATGTGCGAAATAATAAGAACGACAAAAAGCGAATAGGAATAGAATGGATATGATATAATATATATATATATAAATATATATGTATATATGTATATGTATATGAAAAAAAAAAAACGAAAACTAAGTTTGTATATATATATATAACAAGCAAACAAACACGGAATTCAATGTTTACAAACAAAATATAGGTGCAAAGAAGGATGGATGGATAGTGAAAGAAAAAATACACAAATAAAAGCAAATACGATAACGAAAACAAAAGTTTACTTAAAACATTCCCCCTTCCCCAAAATAATAATAATAAAAAAAATAATAAAAAACAAACCAAAAAAAAAAAAATGCTGACTAGCATGAATGGATTTGATTGCCCGGCAAATGTTACAACTCGCCACTAGAGCGTTAATACATAACATACAATATAGAAGTACATGTACATGTACACATTTATGTACGGTATCTACGTCTACTCATAAATGATCATATATAAATTTCAATTCATTTTTCTTATCTTCTCTAATGCATTCAAAAATATTTGTGAATTCTGGATTAAGAAGAATTTCTTATCAATTGAAAAGATTTACTTAACGCGTAATCATATTTATTAAATTATTTTCACCACAACACATTACTATTATTCTATTATCTATTAGTTAAATAGAGGTGTCAAGAAATACACCCATATACCGGCTGCTCATTTAAATACATGCACATTCTCCTATGCGTATATGTACACATATATATATTGGAGGTTTTAATCAACGAATACAATGAAAACATTTGCCTGAAGGCGAAGGCAGCTTCTTATTGCTTAAAACTCGTGCTAAATATGCAAATATTTGTACGCTTGCACCACTCATGACGTGTACGAACATTTTCACTATGACTAATCTATTTTGTATATAATAGTATTTACACATTTTCATGCACATATGCCATAGTGTATGCGGCGAAGAAAACACAGTAAAACAACGATGAGTAATTTTATTTTGTGTGCAAACACACATCAACGTGTAAAATTAAATATATTGAAGTTTAAAAAACAAAGTTGCCATACAATATGCACCTTTTTATACCCATTCATTTTGTCAAGACGTTCAGAGAGACCTCACAAAGCGTATCTATTCTTTGATTACCGTTAAATGCTGAATTAATTTAAGCATGCAACTCTGTTTGTCTCTATAATGCAAATGAAGATATCGGCTTCAAATTTGGAAGAAACATTGAAAGTTCGTCCACGCAGGTTGCTGTTGAAAATGAATAAAACTGCGGCAGATAAATCTGCACAAATGTGCACGTATTCCATGGGCGATGTTTTGGTGCCTCTGCAAAAAAGGAAAAAAACGTCCAAGCCTACTCGATTTTATCAATCGGAATTTCATTTTTTTTTTTCAAAGGCTCTAAATCGCACAAAAACTTAAGAAAGAACCCATAAAGTATATAAATTCTTGGTCGCTTGCAAATTCGGAATGCAGCTAAAGATGTCTGTCTGTTCATCTGTCCACCTGTCTATCTGCGCAAATGTGTAGTATCTGTGGTAAACGTTTTCCCCTTCGCAAAAATGCAGATATCGCCTATAAACTTACCAGAGAATTCGAAAAGGACCCAACCAGGTCAAAGAACACACCTAAACGTTCATGTAAGAAGAACTGTAAACATCATTCAGCATTTTTCGCTTGTTACTTATAAAGTACAACACAGACATCATATAAACTTCCACTTTTAACTTGAAAATAGAAAATAGAAAAAGTCAGCCGCTCCCATCCAATATTATAGAATATGCAAATTTAGTCGTCTTGCTTCTTTTCAAGATCGCGGTGATGGATATAAAAGATTCAGTCACATCCGAATATTGTTTTCTTACTCGTTTTTTTTTTTTTTAAATCTTCATGATTATCATAAATACGTTACAAAAGTATTTACAACAAATTGTTTCTAGAAACACTTCGAGCAACTCAGTTAAATTTTTAAGATTTTAAAATTTATCTGAAGAACTCGGATTTGAAATTTGGGTGTTTGTCCACACCCATTTTTCGTTAACATACCAAAAAATTGCTAAAAACAGTAGCTATGAGCAGAATTCGAATTTGTTTAGCTTGTTCCAAAGGAATTCCGTTCATAAGATGTCCTTAAAAATATTTTACATTTTTTAATACGAACGGAGTAGGCTTCCAAATCCAACTATATCTTAATTTTAAATACTTAGCGTAGCTCCGTTAGCTCTGTTAAGGGATATGGTAGGTGTCTTTGCTAGTGGAATTCGAATTTATCCTCACCCCATCCTTTTTATTATTATTATGATTGGTTTAGCCAGAGATAGAGAATCTAAGACCAAAATCTAAACCGCCAGCATCTAAAGTTTTCTATGGCCATAACTGTAGCGTGTTCTCCATCAGTAAAGACATATCCCACTAGTTCTGCAGCCATCAACATCCTATTTCTCT